CTCACCCTCATTCTTAAACAGATACTTGGTTGGGTATGGTAACCTTAAGATCGTCAGTTATCTTCAGCATATTGAGGATTCTGTTGTCTTTGGGTCTGTTAACGTAAAGAAAATACAGCTGTCAGTCTTCTGTCTTTCAGGTTAATATTTTCTCTCCTTTTGGGGTGATGCTGCCTTAAGTGCCTTTTTATTGATACATTTGAGTTTCTTTTTTTATCCAGATTTGGATTTGTAGGGTTATGTTCCATCATTTAAGAAACTTCTTACCTATGAATATCTTTGATCATTTTGCCCATTCTCTTGTAAAACTTACACTAAATAAAAAATCTTTGTTAATATTTCTTGTATTTAAAATGCCTTTTATTTATTTTCCACTCCTTACTGGCTGCTTTAGGATGTCTTGGGAAGATCTTCTAAACTTGCTTCAAACTCAGTTCTCTGTTCAAACTGTGTTTAGTCTACTGTTAAACCTGCAATTTAGTTTGATTTCCATTATTTTTATGGAAGTGCTGTTGTTTGCCAATTTTGCTATACCTCCTTCAGTAGACATTGCTTATAGGCACTACTGCAAATGCTATTTTCCAATTTAGTGTGAACTTAGATATCTTTTGTCTGTGTTTATATAGTTTTAAGTTTGTTTATAGTCTTTACTGTGCAAGCCTTTGAGCACTGGTTTGTTTTCTGTTACCTCGTTCTGGAAAATTGTATGAATTTGAAATTCAGAAGAAAGTACTTTTTCTTCATGTTTGGGTTTGCCAAGTGCCTAGTAACCCTATTGAATAGAGATCACTAAGCTCATTGCTTGGGATTTCAGGGGTTAACAAACATGAGAGGTGCTTTGAGCTCTTTTTTCCCCAAGAGAACTGGTTTATTATCCTGGAGAACATAACACTTGAAGGTTCCTGCTTAATTTGGGAGGTTTGCTATAAAGATTCCCATTTGGACAGGCCTAGGGATTTTCATTTTATCTTACATAGTTAAAAAACAAAGTTCAAACTAAAAAACAAAGTTCAAACTAAAGATTCACAGATGCCCTCTGGACAACAGTGGCTTCCTTCTGCTTAATCTTTTGCTTGAGTTGTCTTTAGTTTGGAATTAGTGATTCCTTGCTAACTAGGGTCTTTTGCAGTTTTAAAGTTTTTAACAAGTACCTTATTTTGCACTTTTAATTATTTCTCACTGGTAGAGTTAGTATGCATAATCTAGTTTGCCACTGCCAAAATGACAGATCTTTGAGGAAGTAATTTAGTGTCTGATAAATACAATTCTCATTCTCTATTTAATTTTGTTGATTAAAAAAAATAGGTTTTAACAAACCTGTGTTTTTCAATGTGATTAAATTGTTTGGAGACTTTGTTTCTTGTCTACAACTCAGATTTTGGGGTGTATCCCTAAAGATTTATTCGTTCAGAATTTCAATTTGGAATTCTCTGTCTCTAAATACAATTGATATATAATTTTAGTTTTTTTTAAAGATTTATTTATTTTTGCATACAGAACTGGGATATAGGCCAGAATTGCAGGTGCTGTGAGAGGATTCACCAGAGACAGTGAGGAAAGTAGGGTAGGCAGATCAATGAAGTACACTGCTGAGAGGGGAGCAGCGGGCAAAACAGAGGTCAGCAGCACCATGTGGGTCACCTCTGGGGTGGGAACGAACTTGCATGGAAGCTGCTATGGCTTACTTGCAGTGCTGCGTCCTAATCCATTGCACCGCAAGGGAGGGCCTAATTTTAGATTTTTAGGGTAGTCGTAAATAGATAGGTCAGTTTCTCCATCTGTCCAGAGTTGCTTTACCTCTGAAGTTAACATCTGTATTTACCTTGCTACATCAATTGGTTAGCCTCTAGTTGTCAGAACTAAAAGACTGTTTTCAACCATCATCCCTGCTAATTATTTTGTAGAAATGCCGACTTTGTGCTATGATTAATTCAGAATGGACAGATGAGAAAAATCACTTAAGTTTTAGTGTTGAGTGTTTACTGGGTACAAAACACAAGTTCTTTCACATTAAGAGCAATCTGATGAGGGAACAATTTTTTCCTACTTGAGGTACGTGATAAAATGGGGCCAAAGTTTTTTGCCCGAGCAATTTTGCTAATTCAAATAACCTACAAAATAGATTTTGACTTTTAAAAACAAAAGTATACAATTAAGAAATAGGTTAGTCAAAATGGGAGAGAGCATCATTGAATAAGTGCCATTCTGTTTCATTGTAAATCCTGTAATTTTTAAAGTCTCAAGGAATTTCATTGTAAAGGAATTTAAATTTAGAAATTTTGATGAAAGAGGGTGACATTTTTAACAATTTTTGGCTACCCTGTATTCTTACTATATGCTGTGTATTCAACCTAGCAAACTTCCAAATTGTCATTTAATATCCAAGAGAAAGCCAAATTATAAGAAATGAAGCCAAAGTTGTTATTTTCTCTTAATCTTTTCTTTTTTATAACTAGTTACTGTTTTCTGATATGTATTTCCAGAAATGTTTTATTCATGAGAAAGTATGTTCATCTGTGTCTATATACATATATGTGATACATAGATTAAACTTTTATACATCCTATAACTCCTGCTTTCTTGCTCTTTCTGTATCAGCCCAGAGACTTGCTTCAATTTTGACTGTATTCTGTTGTGTGTGCATTCTCTACTACTACTGTTTATTTTTGCTGAGATAAGTAATTGTAGTGCCAGGTATAAGCTTCGTATACAGCGATTGACAGAAGCAGAAATAATTCCTATAATATGGATCTTATGGACTAATCAGTCTGGAGAGACTTGGTCAAATAATCATGCCAATTTAATAATTCCAGATAAGAAACAGAAAGAAAACAGCATTATAGGAATGTGTACATGTAAGCAAATTTTTATTTAATAAGGAAGTTTGGGGTGGAAAAATCATCTCTGCAAAAGCTTGAGCTTGAGAGTCAAATGATGTGTAGAATGTGTTAACTATATAGTATTGGAAGAACCATCTAGGTAAACATGAACAGCTTAGACCTTTAGACTCTTTACATATTGTTCTTGATGGTAGTTTCTCATAAGTGAATAACGAGGGTTGAGATGAATATATTTAAGTCTTCATATTCCTGTGGTCAAATTGCTCTCCAGGAAAATAAGAATGCATATTCACCACAGTTTTCCTACAATAAAAATGCTTATTGATTTGATAGACAATAGAACTTAACTTACCTTTTTTTTTTTAAACTGGGATTTAGTATTTTTCTTAATTTTTGAGGTAGCATTCATAATCACCTGCTTCTGTCAATCACTGTAGTATAGAGTAGTATATAAAGCTTATATTTAGCATTACACTTACTTATCTCAGTAGAAACAAACGGTATTAGCAGACAATGCACACACATCTACTTTAGTTATCCAACATCACTGGAGAAATTTATTCTGTTAGAGGTGATTTGAAGCACATGAGGATATTTTTAAATATAAGAGGATATATTAGGAAGAAATGCTTCCTTTGTAATTTGTCTAAAGGATGGCTGTTGAATCAGTAATAATACTTCAAATATTAGCAGTTGACTGCTGAAATCAGTAATGTGTCCTGATTTTACCTAAAATTACCATTAGGTAATATTAAGTATGTTTGTATGAGGAATCACATCTTACAGCATTTTGTGAATTAAAGGATAATTTAAATTAAAGCAAAAACTTGATTTTGAGGTGGGATTAATTTTAAACCTGTTTTAGATTGTTTTGTCTTTCTGAAAACAATTCTTGAGGTTAACATTCATCTTACCATGAAATAGAGCTTGGAATATGCTTGGTTCTAATAGTATTAAGATTTGGTTACTAAGAACATTTTGATAATAACTTGCCAGCATATCCAGGGAAGTTTGGATGCCTGTTGGTTATCAGTAATGTTGACACAACAGTGATTTCAGGATATGGGCAACTTTTTTACTTGACAAAGGTTTCACTCCCAGGACTTCGTACGTAACTGTCATTAAGTACTTTTTTTTTAAGATTTATTTATTTATTCATACAGAACTGGGGTACAGGCCAGAGATGCGGAGGGTGAGAGGATTCACCAGAGACAGAGTGGGGAGCAGAACAGGCAGATCAACAAAGCACACTGCTGAGCGGAACAGCGGGAGGGTCAGGAGAGGTCTGCCATGCCATGTGGATCTCCTCCGGGGCAGGCGGGGATCGAACTCATGCAGAAGTGGCCTAAGCTTCTCAGTGCAGTGTTTTAACCTGCTGTGCCACCAGGGAGGGCCTGGTGTGCCGTGCCACCAGGGAGGGCCTCAAAGAGTGTTTTTAAAGATCTATTTATGAATAAAAGAACTGCAGTACAGGCCAGAAGTGCAGGGAAAGGAGTGAGAGGATTCACCAGAGACAGTATGGGAGACAGAACAGATGTCCCCTGTTGAGGGGAGCAGTGGGCAAGATGAGAAGTCTGCCCCACATTGGCCTAGGTTAGAAATCAGTAGCTGTGGAGAGCTTCATAGTGCTGCACTTTAACAAACCTTGTGCCACCAGGGAAGGCCCAAGGATGATTATTTTTGACAAAAGATCTCCGGTTGCTTACAATAGATGTCAGTATTCGGCTTTAACCTGAATTTGATAAAAATTAATGTCATCAAATGAAGTGACTTTTTTATTCTGTGAGATGCTGCATAGCAAAAACTAACCATTTGTAGTTATTAAAGGAATTGAGTAAAGAACCTTTGTGTTGCACTTTGCCTGTTCTAGCATACATGTTATTCTTTACCAGGACTCTATTCCTTCTAACAGCCCTTATATGATAAATTCTAAAAATCTAGTAGTAGCTTGATATTTTCTGAAAAAATTTTTTGGTGACTACAGAGAGGTTATGTTCCATGTTTTTTTTCCTGAACACTGATTGTTTTTAATGGGCATATATATTTCAATACATATATAAATCAGTGTGGTATTGATTTAAAATATTTTGTCCTCAAATGTTTTTATTGGCTTTTAAATAAATTGTATATATTTTTTAACATTGACATTTCTTTCCGTAGATATTTGGAGTTCTTACAACATGGCAGACATTGACAAGTAAGTGACAGATAGTTGGTTCTTTTTTTAAAGAGATTGGGCATCACTTGTATTGGGATGTGTCTAACAACAGTACTATTTATGTATTATAAAAATGCATGGTAATGACTACTGCTTAGTACCTACTGTCATAAAAGTTGGGTACAGTGTTTCCTAGACAAAATATAGTACATATTGCATTGTCATAAATATAGTAAGCCATTTGTCAGTGTTTATTCTTAGGAAGGTGATGAGCACAATAGTGAATCATAAATATTTGCAGAATTCATTTTTACCACATGTATTTCCCAAAGATAGTACTACTTATATTGTAATGTAGCTTACACAGAAAGTTTTTAAAAAATACAGGATGTGTATATAGAATTTAAAGAATAAAAGGACACTAGTGGACAAATTTTCAAAATGAGAGTATTACTATTAGAAGCCCTCTGTACCCCTCATTTGTCTACCTTTCTAGGAACAAAAGCACTTTCTTGGCTTTTGTCTAATTCATTTCTTTGCTTTTCTGGTTTCATTGACTATAAATTCTTAACTGTGTTTGATTTTGAAATACTGAATAGCATTCACAAACTTTGATGTGCAAAGAAAAAAATTCGTGTTACCACTATTAAGACTCCTAAGGTTAAGACTCCTAAGGTTAGGAAAATAAGCAAGATACTATCTGGGTGGTCATAATCTGGCTTCGACACTTTCACTTTATAGGCTTTATAGGGACTTATTTTGGAGAAATCACTGGGGAAGATTATGCATTATGGAAACATAATTTTAATCAAGTTGGTGTCTGATAGGATTCTGTGTGACTATACCTCTTTCAGAAATATGGTCAGGGAAGAATGGGTCAAGCTGCATTATCTATTGCTTGTAATTTCAGTCTAACCTGCAAATTGAGAAGTAATTAAGACAACTCTTGAGTTATGAGGGCATGATAAACTTCATGTTACGGGAAGCATAAACTGTGGGGAAACTTGGAAACAAGGGCAACATACCCCAAATACATATAAGAATCTGGCCAGTCCTCCCCCATGTGTACTGTCTTCAACATGAGACAGTAGTGCCACAGATGTTTTAGTGCTGATGCTTTTAAAGTGACTGTTGCCTGAATCCCACTACTCTATTCATCTTTGGTTGCATAGTGCTCATTGTGGATCTGTTTTACTATCTTCCTCTGGTTTCCTTTTGTTTCTGCTATATCCCATTTTATTGTTTTGTTAGCCTAATGCATTTTTGGATCAGTACCAGGGAAGTATATTATTTTGAGTTATGGCATAAATGAAAATGACTTTTACCTTTACTTACCCTTGATAGTTTGGTATAGTTTTTCTAATTTGGGTTATTTTTCTTAACAGTTTTGAAGGTATTGCTACATTGTTACTTTGCTTCCAATTGTGTCAAAATTCAAAGTCATAATTATTAATCTTTGATGTGTGACTATATACATATATTTGTTTCTGGAAGCCACTCTGGCTTCAACATTCTGAAATTTTTCAAATTGCTCTAGCTGTTTTTATCTCTTTCTTGCATTAGGAATTCAGTGGACCATTCAGTCTGGCAACCTCTAGAATGACTTTCCATTCCAGGGAATGTTCTTACTTTGTTTATTATCTTGTTTGTTTCCTCTTTCTGGAACTTCTGTTATGTTGTATATTTGACTTGATTTTTCTAATTACCTTACATTTCCTATCTTTGTCTTTACTCTTTTGGGAAAACTATCTTTTCAACTCTTGCTTTGAATTTCTAATTGTTTAGTTTTCAAGAACACATTGGCTCTCTTCTTGCTTATATAGCATCTTGTTCTTCTAATCATTGATGATGGTATCTTTGGATTTTCTTTCCTGTTTAGTTCGCTTTTAAATTTTTCTTGCACTTATTTTTTTGAATGAAGAGGCTTTCTTCACCTAGAAGACAATGATAATTTGGCTGCTTGTTAATGCTAAGATTGGGGACATGTATTTGAGGGAAAACTTTTAAAAATTGATTGGGAAATTTGAATGTTGGAGGGTGAGACTTTCAATTTAGTAATTTAATGTAGTGTCATTGATGTGGCATTTGTTATGAGAATAACCAGTATTAGAATGTTTTTTTCTGGTTCAGGTATCCCTCTGAAAGATCTTTGTGTAAAGACTTTCTGTGCTTTGAGAGCCCAATTGGGAAAAGAGAGAAGTCCTCATACTTGACATTCTTGTGTATATTAGTCCTATCTCTGTTCTCAGCTGTGTCTGCACTCCTTTCATTAGCCTCTCTATTTAACCCTTTCCAGACAGGAAACTACCATTCATCTGCTAGAGTGAGGGAGAGGATCTAAGGATTTAACTGGTTATCATTGTTTGCTTACTATCTTCTATCTTATCCACCTTCATCTCCAATCCTTGTTCCTAAAAGTCTTTTTTAAGATTACATGTTTACACCGGTTCTCACTTTTTCCACACTGCTAACTTATGTTTCAGTTCTCAGGCAGTTGTTGCTTGTATCTCCTTGTCTTTCATTGTTTGTTAAATCCTCCTTTATTGTAATTTTAGTTTGGATTTTAATTTTAATTTTGGATGTGCACTTGAATATGTACAATCTGCCATCTTACCCTTGGGGTTTTCATTTTGTTTTGAATTTTAATAAAAGAGTAAGTTGGTTGTGACTCATTGCTTCCCTCCTTTCCCTACCATTAATTAATTTTGGGTGGCTGGTTGCTTTTTAGGAGGGAGGATGAATGAATTATTTTCTTTAAAGCAGGTATCAAAACTTTCTGTAAAGGGCCTTATCTGTAATTTAGGGATTTGGAACTGTATGGTCTCTGGTCTAACTGCTCAACTTTGTTGTATCATGAAAGTAGCCATAGGCAATACATACAACAGTTACTGTGCCTCTGTCCCAATAAAACTATAAAAATGGGAATGGGCTCTATTTGGCCATGGAATATACATAATTTTGACCCCAGGATTAAATAAAACCATAAGATTATATTGTTCAGTAAGTAACTGAATGAAATTACACTGGAGAAGAACTATTTAAGTTACTTCCACCAGTGGCTTTTTATACCAGATATTCCAGAAATCTGTGTAGGTTCTGATAGGAAGGTTGAATTTTTCCCTCAGTTGATGATGGGAACTTAACCTTTACTAGTAATAATAGAATTGACCTTTTCTGTACTTGTGAGTATACAAAAATTTGGTAGTCTTTGTCCCCATACGAAGGTTCTCAGATACTGTTTAAAGACATGAAGCATTAAAATATGAAATCAAAGAATTTTACCATTAACTGTATGTTGACTTAGATGTCTGTATTCTCCTTTTTAGTGCTGTCTATAATATCATATTCAAAAACTAGATTTTTAGGACAAAAAGGGAAGAATACTAGTAACTTCAGTGGTGCCATCCTTCTGGCTTTGCTCTAGTTGTGAGTAGATTCAAAATTTCTTAATCTCTGCTATAAAGAAAAATTCAAAATAGTGAGTATAGGCTTATACCCTTGCTCCACAGTCATAAAGGATCCAAGACCTTTTTGTTTTCAAAATTTGATCCTTAACTTATTTTCTCTAAAGTTTCATGGTCCATTTTGTGACTGCTGGAGCTTTAGCCTTCTCACATACCAATTCTCAGAAAATAGCAAGGTGGAAAAGAACCTCAGAGCTAGCTATCTCATCCTTTCTCCTACCGTTCTATAAAGACTTCCTTAAATTTCTGTATTAGTTCTGCTTTTTCTACCAAAAACCTAATTATGTCCAGCTAAAAGGTAGGACTTTTTAAAAAGCTTGGTGTATTACCCTCTCATAAAATTAGAGTATTATTACTAAAAAGATTAAAACCACTGGTTATTGGGTAGAACATACATTTCTTGTTATCACATTCCCTAAACGAAAATGTCACAAACCATATTTTAAGGCTTGAAATATAAACTTTATATTTGGCCATAAGCTTTTTAAGTGAAATTCTAAGTACTTCTACTTTTGTACTTGTGTCCATTTGAAATTAAAAGAAAAATGGAATTGGTGTTTAAATTCCTACTTCATGTTTTTAAAAGAGGCCTATTAACCTAGAAAATGAATTGAAGTTTTTCTGTAATTTTTTTTTTATTTGTAATTGGTACATTTGAATCTTGGTGTGATGTATGATATTGTAGCAAAGAACAGTCTGAACTTGATCAAGATTTGGATGATGTTGAAGAAGTAGAAGAAGAAGAAACTGGTGAAGAAACAAAAATCAAAGGTATTACTTTAATTTTCTCCAGGAGCCAGTGAATGCCGGCACTTGTCTTCTAGACCTTTTTCTTTTTGGATCATTGTCCACTTTACCATCCCTATTCTAAGTTCAGTAATTGTGGTTGGGTGGGTAGGGGAAGAGGGAGATGGAGATGAAGTAGAAAGAGAGGAAAATAAGGGATATAGTATGATTTATTACAAGTCAATGGTATCTACTGCTGGGCTTGCCTATGACATAGATGTGCTGGACAGAGCTGCCCATGAATTTTGTCTGGATTTATCAATAGAAGTGCTATTTGTACAAGTGATGTGGTGGTAGTTTTCAGTGGTGCTTCTCAACAAACAGCACTAGCTTAACATTTATTTGAAATGTTTATTAGTATTTCACATGTTAGTAATACAATATATGTAGTGTGTATGTGTACATATTTTTTTCACTGTGTCCAAACCACAAAAGAAACATTCAGACACGTTTTGTGTGTACAGAAGCATCCAAAATTTTCTTCGGCAAACATCTAAAATGTGGGTGAGGGTTAGTGCTGGCAGTGGGGAATTTCACCGCTTTAGTTTCTGCCCTTTAATAATTAAGCTTTTCATTTTTAAGCCAGATGGTTAATTGTGCACTTCTAGCTTCATCTGTTGTAATATTTTATCCTTAGTTGCCATTATTAATATTTCTAAAGGCATGTTGGTATTGATAACTACATCATCCAATAATCAAATTAATGTAAGAAAATAGATTGACCCTTACTAGGAAAAATTAATGGCAGTTTTGGATGTATGTATTGAAGAAGGCTACAAAATAATTCTTTTCATAAATTAGCCTATATTGGATAAAGAATAATTTTTAGATACCATTAATAACCAAATTTTGCTTGGCTTTCATTATAACCTTTTGACTGTTTGAACTTTTTTAATTCAAGTAAGCCCAAGTACATTATATAGGATCGAACATTCAGGTCACTAACTCCCACAGTCTTCGTTACACCAGGCTTGAAACACATGCAGTTTTATGTTGTGTTATCTCCTTCAATGAATTGTCACCTATCATATATAGATATCTCAGTCATATTTTGAGCTGCCCAAAATGCAATGTGGGTAAAACAAGAGATAATCAGGGGAAAAAAGATAATCGATGACATTTGAAATCAGTAGGAGTCTGAACTTCTAGAGTGAATTTCCTTTGACTTGTTACCCATCTTTGCTCATACTAGCAATTTACAAACTAGTTAGAAAACACTCATGATTGGATTGTCCTATTAAAATAACAATACATGGTCATAAAATCCTTCTTTCGATGCCCTTTTTTTTTTTTTTTTTAAAGCGCGTCAGCTGACTGTTCAGATGATGCAAAATCCTCAGATTCTTGCAGCCCTTCAAGAAAGACTTGATGGTCTGGTAGAAACACCAACAGGATACATTGAAAGGTACACGTTTTCTTTTACATAGTCCTTATCTTTCTATAATCAACAGAGCAGGTATATTTTTAAGACCATCTGTGACATGTGTATAATAGTTGGAAAACTAATGTATCCTATCTTGTATAGGATTATTGGGAATTTAAAATTTTGTTTGATGTACCATCAACTTAGAGTTGGTCTTCAAAAAATTATCAGGATGTATATTGACCCTACTCGTATCTGAGTTTTGTTTAGAAATTTGTTAGAAATGCAGGTTTTTATTTCACTGGTCAAGTAGTTGTTTGCATTCTAGAATGACTGATATCATTTAGCTTAAGTTTTTTGTTAGTTTTGACCAGTCTAAGAGGAGTGAGGTGTGTGTAAGCTCATTTTAAGCTTTTAAACTTCATAAAGATTGTGAACTTTAAGTTGCTCATGTACCCATTTTTCTGCTGGGGTTTGATATCTTTTCCCTGTTTTGTAAGTGTTCTTATGTATTTTAGATGTTAATTCCATAACTTATTGTTATTATTATTATTTTTTGCCTAGATCTGGGTGGTGTAGGCAGAGGCATGAGGTTGGGGGAAAGTTGTTAGAATTCACCAGAGACACAGTGGAGAGTAGAACAGGTGGCTCTACTGAAATACACTGCTAAGGGGAGCATTTGGAGAGGTTTGCTACGCTATTTGTGGGTTAGCTCCCTGGCCAGTGATTGAACTCAGTAGGCCCTCATGGTGATAGCGAAGGCTATCAGTAAAGGCCCTCAGAATTCCTTAACTTTTGTAATTATTAATCATTTTTTACTTAATGACTTGTCCTTTTAAAGTTAGGTCCTTCCTAGTTCTATCTGTATTTCTTATTTACTAGTTTACCTCTCACATTTAATCCTTCTGGAGTTAGTCCACTTTGTATTTGTAATAGCCATCTGGTTTCCTTTTTTTTTTTTTTTTGAGCGAACTACTTTTTATAACATTCACCTAGTAATCATTCTATTCTTTTGTCATGCCTTAATGTCTTTGGAATAATAAACGTGTCTTTAATATTTTTAAGGGTGGGTTACCTTCTTCATCTATCTCCCATAAAACAATCTTAAGGTTGATCTTAAGTGTAGATGTTTATCCTATATATGGTTGAGGTTGTCAGGTTTCTTAAGAAAACTGAAATTTTGATAGGAATTATATTGAATATATAGATTAATGTAGTGGGGGATTATTTTTTAAATACCTATTATATTACCCTTGTATTATTCAAATCCTACTCTTAATTTATTTATGCATACAAGAACTGGGGTATAGGCTGGGGGGGTGGAGTGAGAGGATTCACCAGAGACAAGAATGGAGAGTAGAACAGGCATATCTAACAAAATACACTCCTGAGGGGAGCTGTGGGCGAGTCAGGAGAGGTCTCCTGTGCCATGTAGCTCAGCTCCCTGGCCAGCATTGAACTCATGCTGCACTTGGCTGTGGATAACTTCATAGTGCTGTGTCTTAACTCCTTGCACCACCAGGGAGGGCCCCAAATCATATCCCATGTCTCTTACTACATTGTTTTCATGTTCTATTCTTGGTGAATTCCTGTATACCTTAGCTGTTGTGAATAAGCAAAAGTTGTTACCTGCACTAATGGCACTTCTAGTTCTAATCTTTCACATTTACACTGCACCATATGCATTTATTTTTCTTAGTTATGTTGGCCAGTATTTTTAGTAGTTTTTAAAACACTAGCATTTTATTATTATTATTAATATAAGTTCATTTTTACTTCATTTTGTGCCTTTTTCCATCTCAGTTATAATCCCCATGGGCTTGCCATCACCATAATACAGTGCACGCCACCCCTGTTAAAACACTAGTGTTTTTTTTTTTTTTTTAAAGATTTATTTATTTGTACATACAGAACTGGGGTACAGGCCAGAGGCTCAGGGGCGGTGAGAGGCTTCACCAGAGACAGAGTGGGGAGCAGAACAGGCAGATCGACGAAGTACACTGCTGAGGGGAGCAGCGAGCGGGTCAGGAGAGGTCTGCCACGCCATGTGGTCTCCTCCGGGGCAGGCGGGAATCGAACTCATGCGGAAGTGGCTTTAGCTTCTCAGTGCAGTGCTTTAACCTGCTGCGCCACCAGGGAGGGCCTAAAACACTAGTGTTTTAAATGGGCATATTTCCAGTTTTACTGGGAATAAATATAAAATCTCCATTTATCTTGAAAGTCTGAATTTTTTGTGACCTTCAGTTCTGTATTAGTTCAGATGGTCTTTGACCTTTTTTTTAAAAATATTAAATATAAACTATTTTTGGAAACTTTAGATATCAATTAGCTGCATATTGTATGCCCTTATTGATGAAATGTGTGAAATGTGCTTTAGTGTTTGTGTATATATGTGTGTGTATGCATTTTATATATATGTGTGTATATATGTGTGTACAATAAAGAAACTTGGTAGAGGGGCAAAGAAATACTTCGTTAAGAGTGATTTTAAAGTTGAGGTTTCAGCTACCTTAATGAAACACTGATTTTACTTTTTCTGCTTTTTGGAGCAAACTTTGTAAGACAGAAATTAACTGTTCCTGGTAAACTTTTTCTGAAAATTGACTTGGGCCTTTCAGATTTGAGAAGTCGAGGTCAATGGAAGTCTACCTGCCACCACTATTTTTTGAACATACTAATTGGCCTGATAGTTTGTACTGTGCCGATATGAGAGGTTTATATTGTAAATATACATATTGCTATTTCAAATTGATAAGTGTATAATTTATGGTGTTTTAAAATATTTTCATTTTTTGTACTTTGTATTTTTCATCTTTGTTTCATTCATATTAATGTTTTTAGAATAAACTTTTGATTTTCCCTTGCCTTTTTTTGTGATTATTGCAGCTCAGACTTTAATGTTAAAATTTCCTTATTTGCGCTTACTCCATTAGCTTATTTTTTCCAATTTCTTTGAATGCTTAGGTCATTGGACTTCTTAATTTGTAGCTTTTTTTTTTTAAGATTTATTTATTCATACAGAACTGGGGTATAGGCCAGAGGTGCAGGCATGGTGAGAGGATTCAGCAGAAGCAGAGTAGGGAACAGAACAGGCAGACTGACAAGACCTCTGCTGAGTGGAGCAGAGGGTGAGACAGGAGAGGTCTCTAGTGCCATGTGGGTCACCTCCCTGGCTAGCCTTGAAATGCTGCACTTTAACCTGTTGTGCCACCAGAGAGGGCCCCTAATTTGTTGCTTTTATGATCTTACTACATTGTTTTTGTAAGTGCTATGTGAATATATGCTGAAACTAAGTCTTAATTTTTTATATTGTATGGTTTTCTTTTGTTTCTGCTAGATGTCTGCTTGATCTGAGAGGGATGTTAGGATTGTAGGACTCTACACTTAGAATCTGCGTTTTTCCTGTAATTCTTTGTTGTTAATATTGGCTTATAGCACTGTTTATGATTCAGAAATACAGGTGCCCATCTCTTCAGATGTATTTTATCATACTACACCTATCACTGAGGCGCACCTCTCGTCTTCTGTAGTGCATTGTGCTCCTTTTCCCTTTACTCTTCATGTTTTTACCTGTAAGTCTATCAGTGTGGACTGGTACATTTTGAAAGTTGTATCAGGTCTGTGTTTGTGATATATTTATCTTGTTCTGTTGTTCAATGCACTAGTAAATGCTATATATATCCTTCTTTACATATTATGGTATTCTTTATCACAATTACATTTTGTCTGATATTAAGATAGCTACCCCAGCTTTCTTTGGGTTTTTATTTACCTGGCTTAGCCTTCACATTCTTATATCATATTCTAATATGAATGGTTGCTGCCATATTAGTAATATCGGGCCACTTTACACTTCTTAAAAGTGATTTTTTTTTTTTAGTTATATTACTCCTAATTTTTAAAATTACTTATAGTACTTGTTTCTTCTTTTTGTTGTCCATCGAATAGATCTGGTTTCAAACTTAATGCTTTCCGAGTTTTGTTATGGTAAAAATGACTTATAACCTTATAACTACATTTGTTTATGTCTACTGATTTCTTATATTTACCAATATCTATATTGTTCATAAATGTAATTATTTTAGGTCTCTTTTTTTCAAGGCAACAGTAAAACTTACCAAGATACTGACTCCCCATACCTTATAGCATCTCCTGTTTTTTGTTGTTGTTGTTGTTGTTGTTTGTTTTGTTTTCCACTTCCTCAGAAATTTTTTTTTTTTTTTTTTAAGATTTATTTACTTGTGCATACAAAACTGGGGTACAGGCGAGAGGCTCAGGGGTGGCGAGAGGCTTCACCAGAGACAGAGTGGGGTACAGAACAGGCAGATCGACAAAGTACACT